CAATGTTTGTGTGTGCGTGGAATGTGACGAGGAGAGATCATATGCTGCGGAGGGACGTAAAACGAAAAGGAACTCGGAAAGAGTGAGAAATAAAGAATAGAAAAAGAGAGAGAGAAAAAAAAGGGAAAGGATTATTATATCAGGCAAGATGTGTGAACGTAACAAAAAAAGATAATAAAATAACTTTTCGTCTCCTCCCTTTTTGTCTTTCCCTTTTTGATTTTTCTTTTGATAATTATTTTAAAAAACTAATTATTATATTTCTTTTCGAAATTTATCTATGTATAAAAATTTGAAATGGAAAAGAGAGAGAGAGAGAGAGAGAGTATGTCGTCAGTTAAAATAATAATAAGAAGAATTTATGTGTATGTGTGTGTGTGAGAGAGAGAGAGAGAGAGAAAAAAAAAAGAAAGAAAGATAGAAAAAAAGGTAAAATTTTTGAATTCTTCGATAGTGTCTGTTGTTTTTTTTTTCGATGTATGTGTGTAATATACGTGAATACGTGTGTGTGTGTCTCGTCATCGAAAGAAATCAAGTTTAATATTAATGTTAAGCCTATATATATATACACTTTGTATATGTTTGTAAATATATACATATATATATGTATATGTATATATACATATTATATACATAATATCAATCTACTTATATACATGCGTTCACTATTTTAAGTGTAACTTCATCAATCAATTCATTTCACTATCATAGATATAATATATTAAATAGTACATACAAATAATAGAGACAAATAATGAGCAAACGGAACAAGTATTTGTTTTTTTTTCTTGTTGAGAGAGAGAGAAAGAGAGAGAGAGAAAGAGAGAGAGAAAAGAAGAAAGATGTTGATGAGGGGAAAGAGGAGGAGGAGGAGGAGGAAGAAGACGTCGACGAGGAGGGGATTAAAAAGAGAGTGGGGGGAATAAATCATACATCCTCCTCCCTGGGATAACAAAAATTTACTAACATCCGGAAGGTTGTCGAACGAAAATATTCGGCGAGAGTGAGAAAGTATTCAGGGCATCCTCGTTTGTCCGTAGAATGTGAATGTTGCATTGGATGCACAGCATCCGTTGTAAATTACAGAACCCCACACGTCTCTTTCTCTCTCTCTCTCTCTTTCTCTCTCCTTGTCTGTCTCCCTGTCTCCCAGTTCCTTCCTCCTCTTTAAAGGGAACACGTCGTCCCACTGTTTGCTTCGTCCGTTCGTGACCGATTTGTGACGCGGTACATTAATCGAGAAACGCGAGGGGAAGCTTAAGGGTGGAGAGAGAGAGAGAGAGAGAGGGAGGAAAAAGCGAGACAGTGAAACAGGGTGAGGAGGAGGAGGAGGAAGAAGAAGGGCCCGAGAGAGCAGCGAGATGAGCCGAAAATAAGAAGAGAGTAAAGTGGCTGGTCGGTGCAGTGATTCACGTGACCGGAAGTACCCCTTCCTCCCTCTTAATCATTCTCTCTCTTTTCATCATCATCATCATCATCATCATCCTCCTCCTACTTGGTGTGCGTAACCACGAGAAAGAGTGAGTGTGCTTGTGTGTGTATGTATGTATGTATGTGAGTGATAGCGTACAACAACGCCCTTCGCGCTTATTTATCCTTTCCTCTCTCTATACTCAACGAACGCACACGGGGGAGCAACAGAAGATGATCGTCGCCAAGATGTCAGAGTTCGCTGCTCTTCGGTGTCTCCTTCTTCTCCATCTCCCTCGTCTTTTCCTCCTCATCCTCTTCACCCCCTTCTCTTTCTTCTCCTTCTCTTTTTCCTTCTCCTTCTTCTCACAGAGACATCCAACAGATGTGTTAGAGAGAGAGAGAGAGACTCTTTCTCTCTCTCTCTCTCTTTCTATACCTTACAAAAATGCCATACGTGAAGAGTCAAGGTCACGGAGAAGAAAAAAAAAGAATACTACGAAGGTGTTTATTGGGTAGTAGTCGTCCATTAAACAGTTGGATCTCTCGAAGTTTGGTGTTTATACAAAGAGGAAGAAAGATAGATAAATAGAAAGATAGAAAGATAGAAAGAAAGAAAGAAAGAGACACAGTAGCCAGTTTACATGAGCGAAGGCAACGTGCGAGGTGTGTTTTTGCGACTGGGCGTACCACCACCAGTGTTCTATATTAAACTCGACGAACACGGGTCGGTTGATTGCAAAACGGACGCCTGATATTTTCGTTGCATCGTACGAGTAACTGCTTCCGGCCGTAGCTGCTGCTCTTCTCTCTCTTTCTCATTCCCTCTTCCGAGAGAGAGAGAGAAAAAAGAGAAAGAGGGAGAGAGAGAGAGAGAGAGAAAGAGAGAGAGCACATAACACATATATGTACATACTCATACGCTTATAGAGGGATAGTGAAGCGTTTGTGGCTCGCATACCCTTCTTTCTTTTCCTCTCTCTCTTTCTCGCGCGCGTTCTGTCTTTCTCTCTCTCTCCCTCTCTCTCTCTCTCTCTCTCTTTTTCTCTCTCTTTCTCTGTATGCTAGTCTTTACCCACGACGAGGCAGACAACGCTCCGTGGCATGTCGTCTTCGTCCGTCGTTGTCGACGATGAGGACGACGATGGCGGCCAGGCCGGAAACACCTACGCACACTACGGCATATCGAAGGGCGACTCCTGCTACTTCTCTTACTGCTGATGCTGCTGCTGCTGCTGCTGCTGCTGCTGCTGGTGCTGCTGATTCTAGTGACGCTGATGATGGCGATCGTGCTGCCGAGGATGGTGGAGAGCGAGGGGTAACCTTCGAGCTTCACCCAGGAACAAGCGCCTACTCCAACCTCTCCTCCTCCTCCTCCTCCTCTCTTTTATTTCTTTTTCTTCCCTTTTCACGCTGGAGTTCACCCAAGTTTTTACACGCACTCACTCCTTCTTCTTTTGCTCTCCGAGGCATGGCCGTCACGAGTTTACTCCAGGATAGCTCTCGATTGACAACGACATGCCGATCTTTGAATCTTATCGATCAAACATTTGATCAAGATTGTTCATAGTTTATCGATACAATATTTCATTTCTTTTTATTAATATATTATACCTGTCTCTCCTCTTTGATAGTTTCTTATCCATGACCTTGATATTTTGTCTACTTTATTCTTATCTATCCATCCATCCATCCATCTATCCATCCATCCAATCCTTAAGTAAGATCTCTTCGTGATACGTACATACATCATACATATATACATACATACATACATACATACATACAATTGCATTCGCAAGAGCGCGTGGGGAATTCTGACGAGGAATGCGAGGTGCGTGAAAGAGGAGACGTGACCTTTCCAAGGTCAGATATTGCCGGGTAAGAAGAAGAAGAAGAAGAAGAACGACTAGAAGCAGGAGGACTTGTGATTTCGTTTTGTTAACTGAAAATTGGCGTACGTCTCTCTCTCTCTCTCTCTTTCTCTCTCTCTCTCCCTTTCTCTGTTTCTTGGCTGGTCAAGTAGGCGCGTGCCAAAAGAGAAAGAAAGAAAGAAAGATAGAGACATGATGGAGTATATAGAACTAAATGTAAACTTGATAAGAAAGTTAATGTAATAATAAATGATAGAGAAATACGTAACTATGAATTTCGATTTAATTTGTTTGAGAAAAAAAAAGAATGAAAGAAAGAAAGTTTAATTTTTATAATGAAAACGATTTCAATGATTAAGTACACTTTTTCGTAAGATCGATTAGCAAGTAGGAAATAAATAAATAAATAAATAAATAAATAAAAAAAAAAAAATAAGTAAACGCTTGAATCGTGTCAGCTGATAGCTATCAATCAAAATGTTATTTCATTCACCTGTCATTGATTATGATAGAGAGAAAAAGAGAAGAGAGTGAGAGAGAGGGGTTTAAATTCTCAATGTCTCTTTCATTCTTCTTGATTCATTAACCAATGTATGATAGAAAAAGACTGCATTATATATGGGCCAACTTAATGCTCATGACATCAACAACAGCTTAACATCGTTATTACGCGGAGACTCGCGTTCGGATTACATAGTATCCTTGGCCTCCTTTAAAAATTAACGTTATTATAATATGTCGCTTTATTCTTTTATAAATTATTTTTATAGAACGTACACACAACAAACACACACGCACGCGTAAACAATTTTTATTTATATATATATTAATATAAATTAATATATAATTAATTATATTATTAATTATATTAATATTATATTTATATTAATATTACAATATTTATTTATTTATTTATTTTTATTTACATTCTTCCTAAATCTTTTTTTGATTTACTTCAATTTGAATAAATATGAATTATTGGATCACACACAACAAACCACACATACTCATTTATATAGACCCCTCTCGCCATTTCTCTATGAACATATAATATATTAATTATTTAATTTATATTTTTCTTAAATCTTATATAATTCATTTTGTTATAAATAAAATACTATACGTTTATCCTGCTTTTTTTTTTTTTATAAAGATTTACTTTTTAAAATTAATTCGTATGAAAAGTTGGATCACTATACATATTTGTATGTATCATATATATGAAGAAATCTTTGTTTTCATTGTACGTGCCCATTCGCTCTAGTCACACCCGCTTAACATCGACTATGCAAGTCGAAGGTGTGGCTTTATGTAAAGCATATGGCTGGGAATTGCCATTTCTACGGGTGCATTATGGAAACGTATGTTGTCATCGATACGTACACAACGCATCCGACAAATTACACGGTTATAGAAAATTCTCATTACAAAGATTAATTAAAAATGAGTTAATAAAAGATGTCAAGGAACTCCTTTGAAAAATAGTAGTAAAAAAAAGAAAAAAAAGAAAAAAAAAAAAACATTAAATACATCTCCGCGGGGAAATTTTGATGCAAACAACAAAAATACTTGAGCACAAACGAATATTAGAAAAAAAATTTGCAAAATTATATTTTACATAATATTATATAACGTTTTCATATATTACAAAAAGCCCTTTCTTTTATTGATAACTGTTCTAATGAAATTTGATGAAAATAAACGACGAACGTTCGGTTCAATGTCTACAAATGCAAGAATTTTATTATCGGTATCGTTTGTTTTTTTTATGAATACACACGATCATAGTAAGAGTATCGTCGATTCGTTACACAATCTGTACCATTGTATTTCATATGAAATTTCATTCAACATTGGAGAGAGAGAGAGAGAGAGAAAGAGAGAGAGAGAGTGTGTGTTTTAGATGTTATTATATCGTTGTCTTATCAAACTATTTGTATCCAGAGTTTTTTTTATAGATGGTCATCTAAAAAAATCAAATATATATGACTATTAATGTATGGGATTCATTATTGTCGAGTTATATATTTCTATTGTATCTTACCAGAAATAGATAAATTTAATTATCTCTTCTTTGATAATGACTTTCTCTTGATAATAAACTAAATGGATACGAATATATAGAACAACGTTAGATATTGCAGTAATAATTTACACTACAAATATGTTTTTTTTTTTTTTTTTTAATCATTTTTACGTTAAATAACTTTATTTGCAGATTAAAGAAACAAAAAACTATTATTTTTAACATTTGGGTTGTATTATTACGTTTGTTTTACATTGCACATCTCTGACGTAGCAATTATAAACTTGTGTTTTTTTATTTTTTTTTAATTTTTTTTTTTTATTATTTTTCTTCTGTGCTACAACTGCAATTCAATTTTCAAGCAAATAATTTATTATATAAAATTAATATCCTATATATATATATATATATACTTTGCGAGAAGTATTATATTTTAAAAAATTTAATTTCTTCTTCTGGTTTTTTTTCTTCTTTTTTTCTTTTTAATGCAAAACGCGTGCAAGTTTTTAGCTCATTAACTTTAATTTATTAATTTGTGATCGAATGTTGTATTTCCTCTTTATTTCTTTTTTTTTTTTTGTTTCTTTTCAGATAATCTTTAAGTAACAGTAGTATCTGTTGTGTTATCAACGGATGTTGACACTCCATCTTTTATTTCAGTTTCTTCTTCTCTCGACGAAACAATCAATTTATGATAATAACTTTCGATTATTGGCAGGTGAGGTGCTATATCACTTGGTTCTATGAACAAAACTGGAGATACCTATTAAAAGTATATTATTATTTGTTAAAAATGTAATTACATTGTTCTGATTAAAAATATTAATGATAATCATTGTAAATATAATTGTTTAATTATAATACTATTGACAATGTATTGTACTTACATGAATATCTTCAACTTTGGCTTCTCGAGTAGTGAATTCTCTTAACAGAAAATTTTGTCCAAATTCGTGATAGATACGAGTATCTTTTATTCTTAACATAACATTGTCAATTCTCAAAAAATAACGCAGAAGAATGAAGAAACTTGTAGGCATTACACGCTAATTTATAAAATGAATAAAAATAAAATTATGCATACGTATTAATATCAACAATGAAAATAAACAATTATTATATCATATTTGTCATTCAAATAACTTACAATTTTAACTGAACATACAGCAATACCATTATCATGTAGTTCATCTTCAAAAAGTGTCAAATCATGATAAAACCTAATTTTCTCTCTTCTCTTTAATTTATCTAAATCAATTCTTTCGTTAGTTTCTTCCAAATGAAATCCAGATATTGTACCAGTATAATTGGTTGTAAAGGTCCAATCAAATGGTTTAACTTTTTCTTCCAAAAATTCGCTGCTTTCTAATCTGTGTTTAAATGTAACATATACACAAAAAATTGAATACAAATTAAATCATATTATTTTGATAAATATATATTTGAATAATCCTTTGATTGCAAAGTCAGATCATCAATAGATATTCAACAGAAATTACTCTTTTAATGGAAACGCTATTTATAAGCAAATCAATGTAACATTCTTTGTTGTCAATGAAATACTATTTTGTCATGTTTTTATATCTAAATACCTTGCACAATCAAAGTTAAGAAAAAAAAATATATATATTGTATACCTTGATTCTTTCCATGCTTCGGCACATGCAAGTTGTACATTGATTTTGCCATTGGAAACATATTTTAATGCATCAAGTGCATTAAACTGCAAGATAGCTCCAGTTCGGTGTTTCAAAGTTAATATGTTATTTGGAAATACCATATCGGGCATATGTGGCAGGTCTAATGTTTTACTATATCTGTGAAACAAGATTTGATTAAATATATTAACACATTCGTTGTCAGTGTAATACATTTGTAAATAGTAATTAATGTGAAAAATCAGTTCTAAACTGTCATTAGTATCTCTTCTTTATGGTACAGTAAAAAATATGTTAATATGAAACAAACGTGTAATATATAATATAATAATAATAAGAATAAGATAATATCATACATGCAAAATTGACATGCTGTTGTGTCATCTTGGTCACCGCAACCATTTTCGCTTTTTGAACATTTTGAATGAAGTATATGAGATTGAGTATATTTTATTTGCCATGGTGGAAAGACATGCTCCTTTTCATTAACAGGTAGCCGTAGTATATCTACTCCGCCATGAACTTTCACTGTTGTCATGATCAAAACTTCTTGTTAACAAATGATATTATCGTCCTCATACATTTTTTTAAAAATATTATTATCTTATTTATTTATCTAAAAAATACAACTGAAACAGAGTAAAGATATCATTGTTTTAAATCCATGTTCCGTTTAGTTACATTTAATATCATTTAACTGATATTCCCTTTTACAAAATGAAACCTAACCTTTAAAGCATTCGTATGATTGATGAAATTATCGAGAATTTTCACAAGTAACAATTTTGTTAATAATCGATTAATTTTCTTATTTCAAATATCATATTACAATATTATCTTTGTTCTTTGAAATTTCCTTCTTTTTTGTTTTTAGAAAAAAACAAATTAAAGTATGAATAATAACAAAATTCTAGCACAACATTTCACATGATGAAAACTGACAAGTCTTATTCCAAGTTGACAACTAAATTCATAATAAATTGATCTTACCGTTTATTGCAGATAAATGAACTCAATTGTTGGTTATACCGAGTGTTTACTATGATAATTTTGCACAATAATTTTATACAAGATTAAACTAAAACAATTCTTTCTGAACAGAACCATGTATATCCTAGACAAAACTTAACAACCCTCTATCCCACATGAAAAAAAAAAAAGAAAAGATAAGGAAGTTTCCTTCGAATGTAAATTACGAAATTTGTCAATGAATGAAATTAAAAAATACGATAAAATTTATAATATAAAAATGAAAAAAAGAAAAAATACTTTTAATTGAATTAATATTAATATATTATAATCACATGTATTATTATATAACATTTGTTATTATAAGTCTATAATTACAGTGGAGTAGACATTTAAAACTTAGTTCGAACATTCCGTCGACAGATGGCGCTCGTGGAATGGCGCGTAAATTGAATTAATTGTTAAAATTGGAGAGATGGAGTTCTGTTCGATTTTATATTTGGTTGAGATGAGTTTGAAGTAATCGAAGATCATTGTGAAATCTGCATTGGTCCGTGAAGATTGTTTCTTCCCGTTTATATACAGACGCACACACCTTCGTTTATTGAAAATATTATTATATTAATTTATTTTGATAATGACAAAAAGTAAAAAAACAAATACGAGTGTTGAACTCGGTCGTCAATACAATGGAGGAGTTAGCAAAGATATTAACGGGCCGGAAACTTTGAACGATATTCAAAATTTTGACGAAATCAAACCATTTTTACGCGAAGAAACAATAAGAAAATTAAAATCGGTTGCTGGACACGTTGGACTTTTAATTACTTTAATGCTTTATACAGCAATCGGTGGTATGGTAAGTTTTTTTTTTTTTTACAACAAAAACATTTATTCAATTATTAAACATCGATATAATTGTACTACGTGAATTTTATGTAAAAAAGAACAAAAAATATATTTCATCATTTTATTTTAATAGTATTTATAATAATTTTGATAGTAGTTTTGAATTTTTTTTTTTTTTCATTTGATTTACGTAATAAATGAAAATGCAAAGGGTCGTTACGTTTTCATTGTTTATATCAACGAGAAATAAGTTTGTTTTTATAACAAACGTTTCGCCTTCGTGCTATCCAATTCGTGTTCTATTTTTAGTAATTGAAGAGAGAGAGCAACCTGATGAAAATGGTATTTCAACTTGGAATGTTTCATGTTTGAATCTTTCAAATATAAGAATTTTTACGAACAACTTTACAACGCGTTTACTGCTTGATAATATTTTCGAAAAAAAAGATAAAACAATTATTATTTTGCACATTACATTTTACACACAAATTATTTTATGTTTATATTCAATCTTCACTAAATGTTAATTTTCTATTCTTCTTTTTTAATACAATCGACTTAACGATTAATTTATTATATTAACAAAAATCGTATAGTTAGAAACAAATTGGATAAATAAAATCTAATTGAATGTTAATTCAATGCTACTTGAAAATATAAATGAATGTTAAGCTTTGTTTCTAAACACTTTAAAAATACATATTTACGTACATACACATACATTAACGTTGAGTGGACACTCATGTTCAAGCGGAAGCTACTAACCGGATCTTCTTTCAGAAAACTTATACCTTTTATTGTCAAGTGCATTTTAAAATGAAAAATGGAATCATATTTCTTCCCCGTTTTTTTTTTCTTTCTTATTCGTTGCACGCAATTCTAACTCTTCTTAGTAATAATTTAAGAATAAAATGTTATTATTATTTATATTTTCATATTTGCATTAAATACAAATTATTTTCATTATATTTATTTATTTGTCTTTTTTTTTTTTCTTTCATTTACCAACGATTTAAATGCAAATTATTTCATATTATTTTTTTGTTTTTTTTTTCTTTTAAATCGAATAAAAATGTTTCCAAAAAAATTACGCACAAAATTTGTCATTTTCATTGTCTTTTTCTTTATAATTTTGTACAATGTATTTCAGGTTTTTCGACAAATCGAGTTACCAGCAGAATTAGCGAGATTGGAAAGATTGCGTATTAAATTACGCACACAAAGATACCGATTTCTCGATATGATTTCAAACAATACCGATGTGTCTAACTTGAAAACTCTGGTATATATAGAGTATATTAACTTTAGTTGCTATTAATCAAATGACAATGTGTGTTATATGTGTGTATTATTAATAAGAATCCAAATTTTCTAGGTAAGTGTAAAATTACGGGAATACGAGGAAGCAATTCAAGAAACTGCCCAAGCTGGTATGTTGGTCAGTTTTGTTACCGAAACTATTGAACAGAGTGATCAAGGATTAACAGAGTTACCACCAATTTCTACCGATCGTTGGAGTATCCTTCAAGCTGTATTTTTTGCGAGCACAGTTCTCACAACTATCGGTAAATTGTTTCTTCATTTATAATTAACGTAAAAAAAAAAATATTTTGTTTCAATGTTTGTAATTTTTTTTGTTTATTTTTAGGCTATGGCAACGTAGTACCGTCCACGAATTACGGTAGAATCTTTTGCATTATCTTCGCCATCATAGGAATTCCTTTAACTTTGACTGTAATTGCCGATTGGGGCAAACTTTTTGCCGAAGCTGTGGTCCAGTTAGCTGTTATAGCAAAATCAAAATTACACTTTTTAACAACTGCACCTTGCATACAAATGAATCCTACTGGCAGAAAATCAGTTGGTAATAAAAAAAATGTTGCAAGTAAAAAACAGACGTCGTTGTTCATCAAGAATCGAGTGAAAATATTGTTTTAAATGTTGCATTCAGGTGCGGTAGCAGCAGTCGCATTACTTTTCGTATATTTGGCGTGTGGTGCAGGTATGTTCATGCTGTGGGAAGACGATTGGGACTTTTTCGAAGGATTTTATTTTTGTTTTGTCACGATGACTACCATAGGATTTGGTGATCTTGTTCCTAGTAAGTTATTTTACATTACATTTTGTTTGTTTGTTTGTTTGTTGAAAAACTCAAAATATATATATATATTTATCAACAATTTTTTAAATCCTAAATATAATGAATATTGACAATTAAAAAAATTAATTTAACAGAACTTTCGTTGTCTTCATCGTAGTAGAAATGTATTTTTTTAATAAACGAAGTAATATCGATTGACTTTCTGAATGTCTTCGCGTAGTTTGTGTATACGTAATTATAGCTACGGTTCGTATCGTCGATCCCATGCAGAGAAGCCCAAGTATACACTATTGTGTACCTTGTACATCCTGGTGGGCTTAGCGTTGACTAGTACAATCATAGAACTGGTTAGAAGACAATACGCTCAATCTTGGAGAAGATTACAAGCTTTGAGCGGACCCCTGGCAGAAACCATTCGTAGATTGGGCGAACACGCTGGTGGTGATATGTCATCGCTTCATTCTGATCTGAGGTATTATTTGTATAAATACTGTTTCTTTTTGTTTTTGTTTTATTATATATTGAAATATTAGATTTTACAATAATTTTCATATTTCATTTTCTTCTTGAGATAAAATAATGTTCGATTTTTTTTAGGAAAGTATTGACCGTTATTTCGATGCCGAGATTGAAGAGATCACAATCGGGTCGACCTGATTCCAAAGAACAAGAATGGGAAGAAGCTGTTGAAGCTGTGTTAAGAGACATTGCAGCATCCGCGACAACTCCGCCTCCGAAGAAACCGATCGTTCAAATTGTCGTTTACGAATCGAGCGTTTAAATGATCTTTTTATTAAGTTTGACATAATTATTGTGAGATGAATTCGATGTATGTAAAATCAATCAATTTTATTTTTGATTGATGGTTTAACATATATTTTATTTTATATTAATTATTCTCTAGTTTTCTATTTAATATATTTATGGATACGAAACAAGAAGAAAATTAATAAAAAAGAAAATATTTCATGATTATTAAAAATGTATACAAAATCGAATTTGAATTTTTCGTGTTATGAATGCTCGTAATTTCCACGTTACATCACATAATAATCTTTGATCTGCGATTATGCGTTAAATAAATATAAGTCCTCGTCTGGCCGTCATTTTCTCGCAGCGGTCGCAGAAAACAGCATCTCTAACAGAAATCCAACAGAGCGTTGCCAACCGGTATCACTCAGGCTTTATTTGCCCATGATTCATTTGTTCTCTTGCTTATACACGCTTTTCTCATTCATTCTTGCTCACGCGCAGTTAATATACTACGGGGATAAATAAAGCATACCATGTTTACATCAATTTCTCATTTCTTTATTCCAACTATTTGATCTTTCTGTTTAGTATGCTTAGGCAATACTAGGGACCCTATAAGAGGGACGCGCCATACACATTGCTAGGCTGAAAATGTGGGGGGACAGCTTCCGTTGCATCGCGCAGCCATATTTATCTTTAGTATGTATTAACGGCTGTGGTTAGTTTAAGTTTGGAATACTTATAGTTTTTATTGTGATATTTATATTTAATTGTTTTTTTTTTTTTTAATAGTTTTCTATAAGTGTAAGTTTAATTTACTCATGTAATAATTACAAGTGTATAAATGTACAAACCTAACCTATAATTTATCGTTTGAATCATTCGCGCGCAATCACGTGACTACACGAGTTCCTGTCCCCCAGCAATGTGTATGGCGCGTCCCTCCTATAGAGTCCCTAACAGTGACAAGATAACAATTTCAACAATGAAATTTAAATTTGCCGCGTTACGATACCTTCTGTTCCTTCGTGACGTCACATAGGGAGGTAGAACCACAAAGCATCAAATAAAGAGTAGGGATGAGAGTTGTGGCTTCGATCGACGTCGCGAGAGGTTGGGATTTTTGATATAAACCAGGATACTTCTTCAGGGTCGTTTAATTCTAAATTTAGAGACAGTAAAGTAAGGAAAGGAGAAAATAGAAGCGGTGAAAAAGAGAGAAAAAGAAAGACCAAAAAAAAAACAAACATAAATAGAAGAGGACAATTACAATAGAACAAATCTTTCTAAAAATCCTTTTTTTCTTCGTGAAAGTCGCAAAGACTTTCGCAAAATAGTGGAAATAAATAAACAAACTCAATTATTAACAGAGACAGAGAGAGAGAGAGAGAGAGAGATAATAATTGTGATAATGAAGAGTATGGATAATTCAGAAAGTTCATTTGAGATCAAAGAGACACCTTCAAGTATCGTTCGCATCGCATATCGTGTGCGTATTATTAATTGACAATGAATATAGTTGAACTCTTCTACGATGATAATCAGTGTCGTCCACATTTGTCGTTTGCACGCATACATTGATTCACGTAGTACCTTCTTTTGTTTTTTTTTTTGTCCTTTTTATTAGTTTCCTATCCTTAGAAATTGCTTTCAAAATGAACTATGTTTAACTTATATTATAAATTGTACAGGGTGTCCTATAACTGATATAGTACTAGTGAACATGGAATGATTCTACTTGAAAAATGTATAATTAAATTTGTTCATATAAGTTATTATTTTTAAGAAACAAAAGTTTACAAATTTATCGAGTTACGGGTCACCCTGTATTTATGCGAGTAGCGTAGAATTTTGAGGTGTTCGTATTCGATAGCTTTCTTTTTAGCTTCTTTTTTAAAACATCCGAACAAATCTAAGAAGAATTTTGTTTTATGTAAAATTCCCATTTGATTTTTATATTTTTATATCGAAATTTTTGATTTACGTTTCACTTTTCATAGATCATTCAGATAAACCTTTTTTTTATTTTCTAATCAAATCTTATTATACCTAGTAGAGTTAATCATAACGTTTGTTAGAATTGACATTTATTCTTATATGTACAGTAGACAAAAATAATAATAAAGTCCTTTTTACAAGGAAAAAAATGTTCAAATTACAATGTAAAAAAAGAAAAAAAAAAAACAAAAAAGAAAACTATTCGTTTGAACTTTTATTTCTGTTTATTTTTGTATTTATAGCAATTAAGTCTTATGACTGGCATGAACGATCTCGCTAATCCAACACTATCTAATAACGACGATAAGTTAAATAAAAAAGAAGAAAAAGAAAGTTGTATAATTTGTACTCTACGTTTCTTTCGATTACCGATATTCGTATCGGTAAGCTCGTCGTTGTTTCAAGCATACACAACAATTAAAGAATCCCATCAGTCTGTTACCACCATATTTGAAAGTGTTGAAAATGGATTCAACAAGAGTGCCGAATACGTTAGACCATTGACCAATCAGATTCACGATACGTTGGAAATACCAATAAAAACAATCGACACGTTTGTTTGCGTTGGTTTGGATTTTATGGAGGAAAAAGTACCTTCCATAAAATCTCCGCCATATGAAATTTATCAAAATATCAGCAATAACATTAGGTAATTTGATATTTTTTTAATTCTACCAAATCGCAAATTTACTTTACGTTTATTTTATAATATTTGCGATACGTTTAAATATATAACAATAATAATAATAATAATAATAATATTAAGTAGACCAATAGGTTAATGTAATTTTCCAGCAATTATTTGATTTTTCCACAATTTAGAAAAACCACGTGATCTTATGAACCAATCAAATATATACAAATATTTAAAGTAATAACAATAATAATAATATTTTTAATTATTATTTTAATTATTACAAGTATTTCTATAATATTTATTTACATTAATTGATTAAAATAATATCCATTTCTATTGTAGATTAGCTGGGTCATCAGTAATGAAGACATTTTGTACTACATTTTCCAACATTGTGGGATACGCGGACCGAATAACAACATCCATGAATAAAAATGAAGAAAAGAAGGATGATAAGAGTAATAACGTTATTGATAATGTCAAGTGATCGTCAAAATTGTAAACAATTTTTTCGACTACCTTTACTGCAGACACTTGTAAAAAAGAAACAAAGAAAAACACACGTTTAATGTAATATACACGTAAAGAGTATGTTAATTCATTCATTCAGCAAGATCAGTCACCTAACCACACACACATACATACACACTCACACACATACAAAATCTTATACAAATGAATTTAATTTAATTTTATAGTGTTGACCGTATCATATATTTATAAATTGTTATTCGTACAAAATTATCTTATTACACTATTTTATAGTATTATATATCCTTAAATAAGTCATTCATATTTATTAAAAGAAAAGAAAATGAAAACAAAAACAAAGATTCATAAATTTGACGACTACGTGTGATATGTTTTGAAATAGATGTGTGTGTAAATCTTTATTTTCTTTTTTTTTTTTCTTTTTTTTTTCTTTTCTTTTTACTATTCATTAATTAACAACACTAAAGACGGAAATAAATTTATGTTATTAAATTGTGTTAAAATTAAATATCCAATTAATTGATATTAAAAGACGTTTATAGAATAAACAAATATTTGCAATGAAATAAAAATTTAAATATAAAAATTAAATGATATTTACATTATGCGTAAACGAAATATATTATTTTTGTAAATTAAAATCTAACTAACCAATAATAATAATATGTCACATATTATTGTCCAATAAAAATTTAAATTGAACGATCGAAACATACAAAACGGTTTTGTTACAATCGATATATCGAAACAGTTGGTAACCATTTTCTTAGCGTACGGTTGTCGATGTTACCGCCAAATCGAAGTTTTACTCGTTAAGTGAAGATATGATAAATTTTGTATCGTGCGTGTATGTACACAGATTAATATAAATCGTTTGCTTATATGCAAAAGAATACATTATCATTTACATTTTTATTTATACTAATACATGCAGAACTTATATAAACATGTCAACTACGCATTGTTTCTTGTGTCTTACCGATGAAGGCATTTTTCTTAATATTACATCTATTAACTATGATTCTTTGCGTGGTGATATCGAGACATTTTTATCATTAAAGGTACATTTATTTATTTCATCTATTAATTAATTAATATATTTGATTAATTATGGGTTCATTTTTATTTTCTTTTCTTTATGTTTACTATTCAAAAGAAACATATTCAAATATATTACAATGGAAGCTTTTACTAAGTTTTTTGGTTAGAATGTGTACAATTTAAAACTACGTTAATAACTGTGTCTCTCAAATTGTAAACATTTATTAAATAAAAATTGTATATTTGATTAATTTTAATTGAATATAATATAAAATTCGTTATTTTCATTGATTACATAAGTCAGTATCATCTTAATTCAATGTTTTTATTTTATTGCTAATTTTGTGCTGTATTTATATCTAACCTGATACAATACATATATATATAGATATATATATATATATATATGTTAATAAGTAAAATTTGCTATGCTTGTTTATTTTCATTAATATTTTTTAAAGTTGCTATTACATTTGACATATTTTCTTGATTTCATTCAGGTCGAACAAAATAGCAATGATAACAAGGTTTGCTACAAATGTGCATTCGAGTTGAAACAATGTAGCGATTTTCTCAAAAAATATAAAGAATCTTGTAATGTTAAAAATCAGAAGAAAAATGCTTGCTCATTTTGTTTAGGGACAGAAAATAAAGGATACGTTTTTCGTTTAAGTCGTAGTCCCAAAGCTGTAAATTATCCTAGCGATAATTTGATATCCAATTTTCAGAAACATTTTCAAGTTGACGTAAGACTTTATTTAATTAATAATAATATTTCAAACTTTCATGAAAATGTATCTATACAATTTTTATCATATATACATTTGTTTATAGTTTTTTAGAAAGAAAACTGGAACTATGTTGATGTGCCTGACGTGCAGGTACAGTTTGGACATATTATTTGACTTGAAATCTTTATACATAGAACTTTCTGAAGCAAGAAGTACATTTGATAGTAATTTAGATATTTCAACAATACCTAAGGTAACAATATTTATCTGTTATCTTACAATATTCTTTTTTTTTTTATCAATTATTTTATTTTAT